CCCTGAGCACAAGCTCTGACTTTCGGAGTCAGAGTCTGTTTGCTAAGCTCTGCAGCGCCCGACTGGGATAAGCGGCGCTATCTTGGTGGGCTGCAAAGATGTTTTGTGTTGGTTTGCAATGCCTACCATAGGTTTTTCCACTTTTCTGAGTAGATAATATTTTAAAAATTAAAACTTTCATAAATCAAAGAAAATGAAAAGACTCACAATTGCCCCATCCCAATACAGTACTTCTCCCTCCTCACAGCCCTGGCCAGAAGTCTGGGCGGTGGCAGTGGACTTGGGCTGAGCATGTGCACCTGCACTGGGAATGTGTCTGTAGGAAAGGAGGGAGCAGGAGGGGTGGCAGGCAGGGCAGAGGGAGGGGGCTTGGTGGCAGGTGGTCTCAGGTGCAGGGCTGGAGAAGGAGAGAGGCGCTGGGCAAAGCAACAGCAGGGGTGGAGGGACGGCGACTTTAGAAGGGAGGGTGAGTGGCGGGAATGGGCAGCAGAATAGAGTCCCGAGGAAGCAGGTTTCAGGCGCGGAGGTGGATTCGATCAATTCCGGATGACGGCACCTGGAAGGCTACCTTGAGCATCTATTTGGTGCCTCAGTGGGTGCAAAGGGAGCAGGTCTTCTGAAGGTCCTGGACCACAAGCGAGATGCTAGGAGGCCTGGGGTCGAGAGGGAGGCTCCCAGAAGATAAGTCATCAGTGCCCTGGCCCCTTGCTTGGCGAGTGTGCGTTGGTCCAGCTCCTCTGAGGGCAATTTGACAATCTCAGTTCAAACAAAAATGCTCAGCCCTCGGACTCCGCATTTCTCCAAGAATTAGCTGAACAGAACATCCCCTAAGTGCCAAAGTTAGAGGTACAGGGATGCTCTTGGGGGCTCAGATTGTCTCAGAAAAAAATTGGAAGCTATTTCCACCCACTGGGGACTGGTTTTAAAAACACTGAAACTGTGCCACCAGCTATGCTAACTGCATGCAGAGACATCCGAGATACGGTAAGAGAGAGACCTGCTGTGTGCATCTGATTCCAGGTTCATAAAAACATATCGTAAATAATTTGTTTTTATGTATAGAAAGAATTACTTAGTTGAATATGCACTAAATTATGGAGATATGGGGGCAGTTGTTAATTTTCTCTATTTTTAATATTTCTCTGATTTTAAAATTGTGTGTCACACACAGGAGGCTGGCCTGCAGGGCTGGCTGGCCAGGGCCGGCGGTCTCCGTCCTGGGTGGGGGTGTGGGACGTGGTCAGCAGGGACACGGGGTGCAGGCCCCAAGGTGTGTGTCCCGACATCACTGGGAGGTGGGGGACGTGGCCTTGAGATGGACAGTTGGGGCCACTCTCCTCCTGCCTGTCCTGGCAGACCGTAGGCTGAGACCACCTGGGCGAGGCGGCCGCACATCTGCGGGCTGCTTCACAGCTACCAGCTTCGCTCCCAAGTCCATCGCGTCCAGGCCCCCAACCCACAGGACACAGACATTATTAGCATCTCTATTTGGCATGTGGGAAAATGGGGGCCCAGAGTGGGTAAGTGACTTGTCCAAAGAGCCCAGCTCCGAGCCCAGCTCCTTGGCCTCCTCTCCCGCTCTGCGAAGAAAGACTCCTGGGAGAGTGAGGGGCTGGACTCTGGCCCAGGCGGAGCCCAGCGAGGCCAGCGGGTCAGGAGCATCCCAGGTGCATTGTTTGGTCTGCTCAGTGTTTTCAAAGGTTTTGAGTTAGGTGTCAACATTTAAAAATCAGATTTCATGTTAAATTCAGATTTTCGGCTTCTTTTGAAGACATTGGAGTCCTCGGTCCTGTGAGGTGACCTCCTGGTGGGCAGCTGCCCCCTCCGGTCTGGATGTGCTGGTTCCAGGACGCCGCAGTCAGCAACACTCCCCCCTGCTCCCGCGTCTGGTCAGCCTCCGCCAAGCGCAGGACAAGCCGCAGAGATAATCGGGCAGTGCAGGGGCTGTGGAGCCAGCGTGTCTGCATTGGAGTTTTACCTCCTGGCTGTGTGACCTTGAACAGGTTAGTCAATTATTTGCTGCCTTAGTTTATAAGCCCATGCAATGGGGACAATGATGGTACACGTCTCAGAGGGCGGTTTTGAGGCTATCATGAGTTAATATGTAGAAAGTGCCTGGTGTGGCAAAAGCATTAGATAAATGTTAACTATTATTATTACTGCTTTCTTTTTATAGGTTGGGTACTTGCATTTTTTGACCATCACTCTCCTCTTACAGGGACGAATGCTTTTCCTTCTTGAAGTACCGAACTCCGTTTCCGTGTGATCGGGCAGAAGAGTTCGCAGAGAGGGGTAGCCATTAACTTGCCCGCGACTTTGGGCCCAGCAAGGCGAGCAGAAAAAGACCTCGCTGAGAACCTGGGCTGCCTCCTACCAGGACCGAGCCTTTGGGGGCTGCCACTCCTGGCTGGAAACCTGCTGTGACCTGGGGAACCACTGAGCAGGCTGTCACTCAGCGTCCCCAACACCCCGGCCTGTCAGGCTGAGCCCGGTCCCTTCTGCTCAGCACCAGACACCTCAGAGCCTGGAGTCGGGAGGCAACTTAAACAAAGGCGTTTATCTCGGCCCCCTCTCCTGCTGCTCGGCTGGCCGCTCCGCTCTGCTCTGGACAGCATAAAAAGTCATGCTCGGGTGACAGAGGCAGAATTTAGAGCCTTTTTGGATGGCAGCTGGGATCCGAGCTGTCAGCCAGAGGCGGGTCAGCACACTCAGGCTCGCTGCGGCTCCGCACAGAGAGGGCAGGGCGGTGATGCTGTGCAGAGCTCCCATCCAGCCCGCTTTTTCTATTTATAATTTCCCGTGATAATAGGGCCCATTCATTCCCCCTGCAGGCCCCTAATTGCTCCGGAGCAGAGGATGACAGCCTAATTATTAACTTCACAAAAATTGAAGTTGGGCTGTGTCAACAAAGTCCATTTGCTGTCACCCAGATGCAACTCTTTCCTCTTCGTGGTGGCAAAGGGCAGTTCGGAAAAAAGAGAAAAACCCTGGCTGGGTTCCAGCTCAAGTAGACTTTTATTTTCTGGCCTCAAATGATTTTTGGGAGATCCTGCTTAGAGGAAATGCACCCCCTGCTTTGATGTAAGCTGTGTGCAGCTGGTCACCACTCCCCTGACTGGAGGTGACATTTTGGTCCCTAGAAACAAGAGGTGTGAGAGTGTTCAAAGGGACTGCAGGGACAGTGTGGTTGGGATTAAAAACTGGGCCCAATTTGGCCCACAGCTATGTTTTATTTGGCTGGCAGAATATTTAACAAAGGTTTTTTAAAAATTGAGGCAACATTCACATTGCATAAAATAAACCACTTTAAAGTGTAAAATTCAGCGGTATTTAGCACCTTCACAATGTTGTGTGACCCTCACTGCCATCCAGATCTGAAACATGTTATCGCCCAGGAGGAACCCTGGCCCCAGTGAGCACTTGCGCGTTTGCCCCCCTCATTCCCTGGCAGCCACCAGTCGGCTTTCTGCCAATTCTGGATATTTCATCTACACGGAGTCATATAGTCTATGGCCTTTTGTGTCTGGCTTCTTTCACCTCGAATAATGTTTGTGAGGTTCCATCCATGTTGTAGCATGTATCGGAACTTCGTCCCTTTTTTAAGGCTAAAAATTATTTTTAAAAGTTTCTAAATTTAAACGTTTAGCCTCACTTGTTATTTCTAGAAAGGCTGAAAAAATTTTGCTTTTGAATTTGAATTTTGGATTTCTAACAGTCTTATTGAGATATAATTCACCTACTGTACAATTTACCTACTGAAGCGACCGATTCAATGGTTGTCACAATGATGTGCACAATTCGGAGCTGTGCCACCATCGCCACAATTAAAATAGTTCTTAACCTTCAAAACCAGGAGATTTTACAGAATGCCTGGAAAAATCAGAGGACCTGGTAATGCGGGGCTCACATCACGACGCGAATCGGGACTGGCAGTCACGGTCTCCCAGGGCCCCACTTCCGGCTGTGCTGAACTGGCTGCTTCGCGCATTTGCCCTGGAGAGCCAGGCCTGGATTCTAGACCAACTCCTGACTGGACAGATGAGACACAGACTCATGATCTCATTTAATCCTAACAGTAAAACTGTGAGGCAGGCAGCTATAACGTCTAGTTTATGGAGGACAGGATGGGGGTGGCTAGGGAGGTGACTTACCCAGGGATACCTGGACTGTGAGTGGGTGACCTGGGCTTTCAACCTCAACTCCGAGGCCAGTTCCTATGCCACAGCTGCCCAGGGCATCATGGGAAACACATTCAGTGTTCCAAAGAGCATAAACATGTCGACTCTCCATCATGAACGTCTTCCAGGGTAATTGTGGAATAAAGGTTGGAATATATAGAAAACTACATTAAAAATCCCACCATTCACAAATAACCTGTGTTAATTTGAACGTACTTCTAGATTTTACACGTGCACTTTTGTAGTGTGTGAAAGTTTATGCTAAAAGAGTAAGAGATCATCCAGTACGTACAGTTCCACATTCTGCATCTATCGTTTAGAACGATGTCAAAAGATGACAGTTCTCAGTGTGTTCTCCCAGGTTAGAGGGAAGGGGCGGCATGCTGAGGCTTGGGGTAGAGCTGGCCTTCCCCTGCGGCCGGGTGGCCCCTGCCCCAGCTGGGGCTGGCACACAAGCAAGCCCCGCCCCGCCCAGGGGCGCCCTGCTTGGTCTGGGATGGTACCCTGGAGACGAAGGGGGCCTTCCGCGTCTGTTTCCTGTGCCGGCTGGGCGGGCTGCGGCGGAGTCGGTGGCAATGGCAGTCCGGGGATGGGGGTGGGGGAGTGGGGTGGGGAGGGGAAGGGCGGAGCGGGAAGTCCCGGCTGTGCGGTCGGTGGGTCGGCGTCTACAGGCCCCAGGCGGTGAAGCTTCTCCCTTTGCTAGTTATCAAAGCCCCGCGGTGCCCTCATGGCCGCCAGGTGGCGCTGTGGAATAGGAAACGAGCTCGCTGCTCAGGGCGTGAAAGGGGAAACCAAGGTTGAGCAGAGCTGAAGCTGAAATGCACAGCCGCTCCGGGTGTGTGCACCAGGCAGGGCCAGGAGGGAGAGTGGGAGCCCCGGCAGACGTCGGAACTCTGGGGAATAAAGATACAGCAGCAGTGAGTCAATTCCTGCATTGCCATTGAAACCTGGCGTGAGAGGTGGTGTGGCGGGGACGGAATTCCCGTGGGTTCGGGGTCACGCAGACCTGGCTTGGATCCAGGTTCAGGCACTCACTAGTGTTGTGATGGTAGCAGGTCGCCTGTTTCTGAGCCTCAGTTCTCTTGTCTGTAGAATGGACTGTCCCCCTGGGCGGAGGGCAGGTAAGGAAAGGAGAAAGGGGGCTCTTGTCTGGGGGGCTAACACAGCCTGTTGGGAAGGTAAAAAAAAGCTCAAGATTCTGCATAGTGTTTTCTACTGTGACAACGGCTCCCCGGTGCCTCGCACATAGGAGGTGCCCAGCGCTGCGCTGGCTGCGTGGAATCAGTTGAGCGGATGCTCAGACCGAGACCAAGGATTGCAGGTGCCTGCTGGACAGTAAATCCCACAGGCCATCGGATGAGGGGCCAGGAAGGTTTCCTGCAGCAGCCGGGGCTTAGAAAACAGGGAGAAACGAACAGGGGATGACAGGCTGGCATTCTGGGCCCAGGAGAGAGTGCGACAAGGTGAAATGGACGCAGTGAACAGTGCTCACTGGCGTCCGATGAGTGAGAGAGCGGACTCGAGGAGGGCACCGCATAGGAGGCCCGGAGAGCCCAGCCAGAGGCTCAGCAGGCGTGGTCCACCGGGCAGTCAAGTGCAAGATGCCTGTCCCTGAGGTAGCCACCAAAGCAAGCCTGTCTGGGTTCCAGACGCCCAGCCTGGGCGAGCTGTGGAGGCCCCGGGGCTGGAAGGCTTGCTGTCTGCACAGGCACCTGCTGGGTACGAAGGACGTCAGTGTGGGCCCTGGGTCCGGGGACCTCGGATGTCTCGAGGTTCATGGTCTCCGGGCCATCTGAGTCCTCATCGGCAAGGCCAGGGAGGGAGGTCAGGACTGGGAGTGGCCTGAAAGGTTTGCAGGGACTGTTCTAGACCACCACACTCTCAGACCCGCTCCTCCATCAGACAGCCTCTGTGCAGGGCAAGTGACCCCCACTGCCACCTCCTGTGAGCAGCCTGGAAATCGAGCTGTGGGCACCTGACTGGGGCAGCGCTCGGTCTGCGCGACCCACAGAACTCGGGACGAGGCACGAGCTGGGGGAATGTGTGCGCTTGTTCAGGGGCAGCTCCCTGGTCCCCAGCCATGGAGACGCTGGCTTGGGGGCTTATTGTAAGGACCTTGGTCCCGATGCAAGGACCTCCATGCTCTTGCTGAGTGGTCACTGGACTGTGCTTGGAATAAGGCACTGGGCTTTGTCTCCGCGGTTGGTAGAGACGACCCACCCCCTGCGTGGCTCGGCGTGGATGTCCTGAGAAGGCGCACTGACATTTGTTGGGCATCTGCTTTGTGCCAGGAGCACACGCATTATCTCATTTAATCCTGCTCAAGCCCCGTGTGTTAGGTACCATTCTACCATTTTATAGGTGAAATGGGGCCCAGAGAGGTTAAGTGTCTTGCCTAAAGTCACAGAGCCAGTAAGTGGCAGATGCGGACTTCTAGCCCAGGCCTGTGGTGGAGCTCCTCGGACACCCACTCGTCTCATTAGGCGCCAGCGTCTGCTTGCCCGTCTGCTTTCCCAGCTGCTGCCGATTAGCTTTTCCATGCCTTGTCTGAATTTTTGCCATCCGCTTCCGCACTGCTCGTCCGAGAAGGCCAGATGTTTGGTTGATCTTGCAAGGAAGGTGCCCAGGAGACGAGAAAGCAGACAGATGAAAGGAGAGGTAAATGGAACTTCAGGTTGTGAGCCACCTTTCTTGAATTTGTGGATTTTGACATGTTTTGCTGAAGACCTCTTTGTATCCCCTAAGCTTAATGATCATAATGATGATAGCGACAGTGACCACATTGACAACGGCAGCTGCCCTCACTGAGTGATTTTTATGTGCTGGCCACTGAGCTCATTTAATCCTCTCTGCAACCCTGTGACATGGACATTATTGTTGTCTCCATTTCACAGATGGCAGACCGAGACCCAGAAAAGGGAAGTGACTTGCCCCTAGTCGCGCAGCTAGAAATCAGCCAGTATTTGAATCCAGCCCGGGGCTCCGACACGTCTCTGCGGCCCAGCAAGCTGCACAGCTGCTCGGCTGAGGGATTCACCGCAGAAAAGGCAGGGACAGGTCGACCTTCTGCTGCCAGGTCGTCCCTTTGTGGGTGAAGGGCTAGAGCTGTTTTAAGCGTTGCCCCTGGGCCCCAAGCCAGGTGCTCCTGCTGCAGGGGGCCCAGGGTGGTGGCGGGCGGGGGCGCCGGGAGCTCCCCCAGGCTCTCGCCCGCAGCCTTCCCTGCTGCGACCTCCAGTCAGGCCTGAAGTGGCCTGGTGAAGGCGCTGTCCCGGCCTCAAACTTGCGCAGAACAGCAGTGCCCCTTGCCACGCTGTGCTGCCCTCCCCATCCCACGGTCAGCGCAGGCGCCAGTGCACTGAGCACACGGCCGATGGGTGGTGGCCCTGGTGGTGTGTGACGGGGGCACGCGTGTGTCCTCCCGGCTTTCTCCAGACTCCGACCTGCCCCCGGTTTCCTCCCAGGAGCTGCCCGGGCATGAGCCTCCCTCTGCTTCAGGGTGGGAAGGAGACCGTGTCCATCCCGGCGACTGCGTCCGCTCTCCACCCAGGCCTTCCTAGGGCCTGCGGGGTCCTGGGGTCACACAGGCCACCAGCACTTGGCCTCTTGCTCTGGCCTCTTGCTCTGGCCTCTTGCTCTGGCCTCTTGCTCTGGCCTGTCTCTGCTGTGTTCTTCGTTGGGTTCAGGGGAGAATGCCGCGTGGGCAGCCCCGTCCCTTCCCCTGAGCCGGTCCCCAGCCGCCGGAGCTGTGGGCTGCAGGAGCCTCCCTGCTCTCCCCTCACCCGAATCGCCTTGGACTCAAGGAGCACCTCGGGGGCCCACCCGCCTCTGTGGGGGTGGCCGGTGGCTGCTCACTCCCGATGTCCTTGGGGCAGCTCCCGAGGAGCCGTCACCCCCTGTGGGGTCTGCCTCGGCCTCCCCTGCTGTGGGCTGTGGGCTGGTCCCGAGCCGCTCCCGCCTGGTCGTCCTGTGCAGGTGTGTCGCCTGAGAGCTCCCCCTGCAACCCCTGCCTTTCTGTCTCAGAGCCTGTTTCCGGGGAAGCCAATCTACGACTGCTCCAGTCTCAGGCAGGCCTCCGCCGCCACTCCAGCTGCCCGGCCGGGGCACAGGCACATTCCCCACTGGGCCCCACGCCTGGATCACTCGGACCAAGGAGAGGGTGCCCCCCCAACTGTGGTGCAGTCACCACAAGTGGTAGGAACAGGAGTCCAGTGGACAGTTTCCCAGCCTCTGGCCTTCCCTCCTGACTTCTATATGGCCCCCTCCTTTCAGATGTCCAGAACCCTTTGACCTTGAGTATGACAAAATCTCCTTTTAAGAAAGGATCTGGAATGAGTCATTCACACATTAGCAAGAGTTACATTCATGTGTCTAATACTTTTTCAGTGTATTCCTAGAAAGATGAGCAAGAAAAGGGGTGGAAATGGCACGAAGACAGCTTTGATACAAGGTAAGAATGTTCCCCCTGAGAGGCGGAGCTGTCTAAAGAGGGAACAGGTTGGCAGGCAGGTGATGAGCTCCTCGTCACTGGGGGTGCTTGCGGATGGGGTGTTGCGGAGGGAGTTCTAGTGTTAGCAGGAGAGAGGCAGCTGAGGCTCAGCCCTGCTGGGGAAGCCTGGGGGACAGAAAAGAACACGGCTTAGAGTGGCCCCCAAGAAGTGGGGGAGCCCAGGTGTGTCTGTCCCTGGCTAAGAGCTGCTTAGCTAGAGGCCCCCTGGTCCCTCTGGCTGCCCCAGGCATGGGACGCAGGAAAGCCACCAGGTGGAGAGGCGCAGGTGCCCGTCCTGGCTTCTGAGGGTGCTAATAATGACACTATCAAAACTGGCATTGATAGCCGGGCATGGTGGCGCATGCCTGTAGTCCCAGCTACTTGGGAGGCTGAGGCAGTAGGATCGCTGAGCCCCGGAGATTGAGGTTGCTGTGAGCCAGGCTGATGCCACGGCACTCACTCTAGCCTGGGCAACAAAGTGAGACTCTGTCTCAAAATAAAAACAAACAAACAAACAAACAAACAAAAAAAACTGGCATTGAAATTGCTTTTTAGAACTTACAAAGTACTTTTACATATATTGTTTCTTCTCCCTTGGGAAAACTTTCAAGAGGTGGTTTTCCAAACAGGGAAATGAGACCTCCCGAGGTTCCCCAGCCTAGGAGTGACAGAAACCCAGAGCCACCCACCGTGCCCTGCTCTCCTGCAAGCCCGCAGGTAGAGCCCGTCCTAGCCGGGCAGCTCCTGCGCACTCAGCACGGCCGGGTGCTCTCAGCCAGCGCAAAGTCTCGAAAAGGCAGGGACAAAGGGAAGGACGGGAGGGGGCTTCATGACGTCCTCCTGGAGTCGGTGGCCTGCTCTTTCTTCCCGTGGCCTCTCCTCGCGGGCTGCCCCGGCATTGGGCCGTAACTGCCGATGTCAGATGTCATCGTGTGGCCCTTCCCAGGAGCAGTGGGTGGGGCTGTCGTGACATTTTACCGAGTTGAGAGAATTCTGCCCGTCTCCCGGAGCTCAGGGACGGGCGGCCCTGACTTGGCCTGGAGCTGTGCGGAGCCTGTGTTCCCCCCACCCTTGGTGGGCTGTGGGAGCCACCGAGTCATTTCTCTGCCCCTTCCCTTTGCTTTGCTTCCCTTTCCCGGTCCCACCTGCCCCACCTGGACTCCAGGGCCCCAACTCCATTCCTGCCTCCATGCTTGCAAACCGGAGCTGCATCCTGCAGCCCTGCATTTGGCGTTCTGTTCCCAGGCGCTCTGCTCGGGTGGATGGAACCTCCTGCTCTGGCCCCAGCCCCTCTGCTGTCGCCTGGCACGCCCAGTCCGGTCTCCCAGGCCGCCGCTGCGAGATGGAGCCAGTGGGCGGGAAGAGGCCTGCAGCCCAGCCCCCATCTCTAGCCCGCTGCTTCCCCATCCTGAGCGATGCTGAAGGCCGAGCACCTGGCGGCCTTACGGCGGAAACAGGGCACAGGGGAACGACAGTGAGAAACAAACGGAATAAACAGAGAAAAGAATAGAAGTAGCCTCTCTCTGTTGCGTGCTCTGTGCAGGTACTTGACGCGAACCATCCTGCTTCATCTCTGCGGCAGCCCGTGCCGGTAGGTACCATCACCCCATTTATAGATGAGGAAACAGAGGTTCAGAGACAGGTAATGACTTGCCCGGGTCCCCAGAGCCGGTCATGGCAGAGCTGGGTGGCTCTGGGTGCCCTCTTACCCCAGTCACTCCCTTTTGTGTTTCCAGCCCAAGCCTCCGGAAGTCCCAGGCCCTTGTATCAGATGCCCCGCGTGGCCCGGGTCTGCCCAAGCAGGGTATTCCTTCTCCCTGGCCACAGTGATGGTGACAGCAGTGGGGCCAGTGAGAATCCCTGGGAGGAGAAGGCTTCTTTCCCCCGTGATTGCCAGTAGGAAGGAGGCCGTGAGCTTGCAGCTTCCGGGGAACGGAGCGGGGCATCCTAGAATGAAGCCGGCACAGAGGGAAGCAGAGCCGGCATGTGGGGAACAGGCGGCTGAGTCCTCACGGAGCTGTCTGAGCCTGGATCCAACTATGCCTGAAGCTGGCACCTCTGCCCTTTTTAGTTGAGTGAGCCAATACATGCTCCTTGTTGGCTTAAGCCAGTTTGATTTGGGTGGCTGCTACTGGCACTCAAAATCATCTCATACAATCGCCAGGACTTGCTCGACTCCTGTTTAAACGATTTGGTTAGATCTGTGTTTCTGAAGCTCCTTCTACACGCAGGCCATGTAGTCAATCTTGCTTCAAGGGGCTCTGTCCCTTATATTTAGCTGTATTCTCCGCAGCCTAGTGCATAGAAGGTGTTTTGACTAGTTGTTAAAATTTTCTACTGTGTATGTTTTTTTTTAAAGACAGGGTCTCGCTCTGTCACACAGGCTGGGGTGTAGCAAAGCGGTCAGAGCCCACTGCAGCCTCCGCCCCCTGGGCCGCAGCCTCCCGAGGAGCTGGGAGTGTAGCACATGCCACCATGCTTGGTTAATTTTTAAGACTTTTTTGCAAAATAAAGTGGGATGTTAAGTTAATCTGCTAGATTGGTGTTATTATTACTTGCCATGTTATTATTACTTGTACTTGCTGAACAATGATGATAAACAAGTGGTTCGTTACTTTTAATTAATGCTTTTTAAATAAGGTGGAGTGGGGAAAACCCAGAGAACAAAGTGCATTACTTGAAGACGTGGTATACATTTTTCTCGTTTTTAGAAACTTTTTCTCATTTTTAAACAGTACATATTTATTAAGAGGAAAAAAGTAATTTATGATTATTTAAAATAAAATTTAAAAGTAGACTGTCAGCTTAAAAATTTTTCTGGTAGATATGCGGTCTTGCTGTGTTGACCAGGCTGGTCTTGAACTCCTGGTCTCGAGTGATCCTCCCCCTCAGTCTCCCAGAGCACTGGGATTACAGGTGTGAGCTGCCGCGCCTGGTGTCGTTGACTTAGTAAATACACACGATGCTTGCAGTGGCAAGCTGCGAGTCCTCAGAGCACCGCCCTCCCCCCTCTGGTGCTCCCAGGTATAATGTTAGAAGCAGGCCCCAGTGTTGGGACACGTTGGCCTGTCCTGCCTCAGCCCCTTGGCCAGCTTCTGGTCACCTCTGAGATGCTTAGCAGCCACCAGGCCTGCAGCTGATGGCTCAGCTTTCTGCTCGATTCGGTGGCCAATTTAGACAGAGACGTGAAGATGCAGGCTTAGCTAGAGCTCAGCTCTCTTTCCTAAGGTGGGTTTGGGAGTCTAGAAAGTTCTAGAAAGGATTGGCTTGACTTTGGACTGCTGCTGGACCTAGGAGAGCTGGGATGGAGAAGCTCGTATTCTATCAACGCCTTGCTCACTTTCCTGAACTTGCTCCTCTCTCCCCATTTTGCCAACAGGAAAACGGAGGCAGAAACCAAAAAATGACCTGCCCTGAATCATAAGCCGGAGTCTGACCTTTTGGCTCGAATCCTATGCCGAGCATTTCTGCAGCACGCAATTCCTCCTGCTGCTCCGTTTGGTCTCTTTCCTTCCGAGTGAGGGGGAGACACAGCTGTCGGGGCTTTGGGGGAGGATGTCACGCCTGTTAGGACCCCCGCCCCCAGGCATAGCTCAGTGGGCTGAACTCCTGACCCTCGGCCGCCGTGGCAGGAAGTGTGACGCTCCGACCCGGCTGGATCCAGAGGTCTGTGGGAGAGGCAGACAAGCCGGATTGGAGTCTTGAGCCCAGGAGGCTACAAATATGTAGGGGGTGGCGGGGCTCGGGCTGCGCTCGCTCGTCCCGTCCCGAGGAACGGGCTCTGCGGGAGTGACGTGTGAGTGTCTGCGCAGCCGCTGCCGCAGGGTCTGGGCGGGCTGTGGTGGCCTCAGAGGCTGCAGGTGTGGATGCTTGGCCTCCGGGCCGCCCCTGGACACCTGCAGGCCCCCCTGCAGGGCCAGGAGATTGCCACAGCTGGGAGTCTTGGCTAGAGCAGGTGGTGGGAGGGGGAGGCCAGAACCTGCCCCTGCTCTGGGAGCCCCAAGCGCTCTTGATGAACCCCGAGGGGAGGCAGAGCCTGGTGCCTTTGCACGTGCGCGGTGGAGGGAGAGGGGTTGCTGGGCAGAACAGCGGGCCCAGACCCAGAAGCTGTCGCACCTTCGCCCCAGCCTCTGCACGCGCTGTGCAGCCCTGCGGACGTTTCCTGCCCTGCCCGGTCCCCTTTCTTTTTTGGCAACTGCATCTCAATTTTCCTTTGGGGAAATCTCTGATCCCATGGCTGGAGTGGGGCTGGCCTCTGCTTTCTGGCTCCAGGGTTGGCCTGTGACTCAGCCCGGCCAGTCAGAGCGCTGTGCCCCCTGCCCGCAAGGGTGAGCAGGTGTCCCAAGCCAGACCGGTGAGGCGGGTATTAGTCAGGGCAGGCCGGGATAAACTGCAGTAACAAATCACCCCCCAGTATCTCCTTAAACAAAAATGGTTTTAGTTTTTGTTAAAATGCTCTCTCAACTGTTGGAACAGAGAAGCTCTCTTTTCCTGCTGGGGTTGCAAAGCTATAGGATCCAAACCTGGGGACTGAAGCTATCACAGAGCAAAGCAGAAGGGAGTGAGGTGGATTCATGATATCATTTGAGCACCTGGATCCAGCCATGCCTGCTTCCCATTGCCCGAGCCAATCTAGAATCCTCTATTTTTTTTTTTTTTCTCTTTTTTTTTTTTTTTTTTTTTTCTCTTTTTCTCTTTTTTTTTTTTTTTTTTTTTTTTTTTTCTTTTTGTTTTGTTCTTTTTTTTTTGTGTGTGTGTGTCTTTTTTTTTTTTTTGTAGAGATGGGATCTTGCTATATTGCTCAGGCAGCTCTGGAACTCCTGGCCTCAAGTGATCCTCCCACCTCGGCCTCTCAAAGTGCTGGGATTACAGGTGTGAGCCACTGCACCCCCTTGCTTATACTACTTTGAATTTGATTCCGGTTGTTTATAACCAAAATAATTCTAATGTCTTAACCCAAACTCTATTTTCTCTCAGTAGCTGGCTTAAAACTCTCCTCCAAGCAATCTTCCCAAATCAATGCCCCTTTCGCTGATTCATTTATTCCTTTCAATGTTCCCTCAGGATTCATAACTTTTATATTTACATGCCATCATTGTGTGCTTATTGGCATACTGTCACTTTGTCATATTGTTCTTTGTATGTCTCCTTAACTAAATATTTTCAAGTCAAGTAAAAAACCAAATATATTTACTGAGCTCTCCTGGTTGCATGGCCTTGTGCTGGAAGCTGGGGTGGGGTGAGAATAGAAGATTTAAATGGGGTCAGAGATAAAACTCATGCATTGAGAAGGTTCATTCAAGCTGGGGGAGCCTGGGAAGGGGTCAGGCATGAGCAGGGCCCAGTCCCGGCTGTTGTCGTAGAACGCCAGGGCTGTACTGAAGGTCCCCTGCCTGGCTCTAATGATTAGGAGAAGGGCTTCGTTGGCAGGAGGGGAGGGTTTCTTTACCTGAGACCAGATTCTATCTGATGGCAGGGTCTTGCTTTGACTTGAGTCTTTGCAGTACCAAGCCCTGTTCCTGAACCGTGAGCTGGGCCCCTGCTGCTGGCCTCTGCACACCTCTGCCCTGCCTACTTCTGTCTGCCCGGCTCCCCCTCACCCACTTGCCCCTCCCTGCTGGACCGTCTGGGCTCTGGGCTCTGGTCGGTCCCCACGCATCTGTTGCATCAAGGGCTAGGATGGGTTCTGGGGACAGCAAGCTCCTTCTGCCCCCTCCCAAATTGCCTCCTTCTCCCCGAGAGCCACAGTGGCCACGCAGCATCTCCCCTGAGACACGGGGTGCAGGGAGAGGAAATGACTGACCCAAGGTCACTTAGAGGGTCTGCAGTTTTATTCTGAAATGTTGGTGGAGCATTTTGACATCCTCAGATGGGACTCAGGGGACAAATATTGTTATAGTAGCACAGAACAACTTTCCTCTTCTGTTTTTGGAGGAATTGGAAAGGAACAGCTTGGAATTCTATATGCTCAGGCTCGTGGCCCCGTCTTGACAAAAGCCCTTTGAGGACTGAAATAGCTGCAGCGCCCAGCTAGTACCAGCAGCACTTTCTCTTTGTCTGGAAACTGCTGTGCTGGTGTTTGCAGAAGGGGTTCCTCCCTGCTAACTGTGTGCTCTTGCAGCCTGCAGAAGGCAGACTTCCTAGGAAACGGCTCTCGGCCCACTGGGCCTCCCTGTGGTTTATCTTGTCTTCCAGTGAGTCATTGCTTCTCGTGACTTATTGATAGGCCTGACTTGGCCCTGCAGAGAGTCCAAAAGCTGCAGGAGGCCA